GGCTAGGATGCCAGAATTTATTTATGATATTTATTTATACCCTATATCAAGAGAGCTCAATGCAAGTTACAAATACCAAGTATTTATTTGTCGTGTTAGGGCAACCAGTCAATTGTATTACAATTCTAACAGAACAAAACAAACAGACAGACAGACACAACACAAAATTTGCAACTTTGGTAATTGATTAAATGTCCTTTGACCAGTATCTGGCCACTTGGAGTTCTTCTGGTGTTGCCGCAAGGAGGTCCTCCATTGTGCATGTGACAGGACTCAGGGTGCATTGCAGCAGGTGGTCAGTGGTTTGCTCTTCTCTACAAATACCAAGTAAAACAGGTTAAAAAACTAAGACAGCTTAAATAAGTTAAAAACACAATAAATAATTTAATTTAAAACAGATTTTAATTAAAGTTTTCAAAGCTCTCTCTCGCTCTCTATCAGCATTTGGGATCACATTTTAGAGGTCCATGGGCTTTGATGAACAATCAAAATCTAAAATGATATCTAAATGCCAAGAGTGGTGGTGCCAGTCGGGCTTCCGGGCAAAAGCATTCCACAATTAGAGTCAACATCATCATAGGCTATCACTTGTGGCAGAGTATGATTGTCTTCCATGGGTAGTGCCTTGGCAGTGGGTCCTTAAGTGACTGTAGAGACCTATTCTGAATCTGCATAGTGTCACAGTAGGGACATACATTTGCTAGATGGAAGGCTTTGCTTGATGCACCTTTCTCATGGTACACTCCTCCCTTTTGCTCTCTATTCATGCCTCTTCAAAATCCATAGCATTATTGGTAACAGCTGACCTCCAGGGCTTCCCAGGGCTTGGTGTTTATTCCACATTTTTTTAGGTTTGCTTTCCATGTTTTGCAGGCATACAATAGAGTTGGAAGGACAATAGCTTTATAAACAAGCTTCTTGGTATCTATAAATGTCCCAATCCTTAAGCATTCTCCTTCATTCAAAACACTTCTGCACTTACAGAGCTCAGACAGTATTGTATTTTAGTGTCGATGTAGATTTTTGTGGAGAGGTGGCTGCCTAGGTAGAAGAAATGGTCAACATTTTCTACCGTTACAACATTAAGATGTATTTCTGGTATTGCAGAAGGATTGGTTGGTGCCTGCTGGTAGAGCACTTTGATTTTCTCAATGTTCAGTGAGAGGCCAAGCTTTTCATATGCTTCTACAAAGGTGTTTAAAGTAGCTTGTAGGTCTTCCTCTGAGTGAGCACAGACTGTGTTATTGTCAGCATATTGGAGTTCTTTAACTGAAGTTGTTGTGACCTTACTTGCCATCTGGCCGATATGTGACTTCCACACTGGTGGGAAGCTTCCTGTCAACACAGTATAGAATCATAGCTATGAAGATGGATAATAAGATTGGGGCAATAATGCAGCCATGTTTGACATCTGATCCCACCCTAAATGGGTCATTTTGGGAGCCATTGTTGTCCAAGACTGTTTCCATCATGTCATCATGGAGGAGCCACAGGATGTTTAAAATGTATCAGGGCATCCAATAATTGGAGTACCACACTGAGGAAACCTTGTGTAGTACCTCATTGGTAGGACACAGAAAGATCTCTCTCCCCCCAGCAGAACCCAGTCCTTGGACAGGCACATAGAAGATGCACTCCTTCAAAATATCAAAGACCGAAGCCATTTAGGTTATTGAATGTCATCGCAAGCACTTGGAGATATGACCGGAAACATATTGGAAGCTAATATTGTTCTATTAAGAATGGCTCTGCATGCCATTTTTGTGATATTCCAGCCAGCAGTTGAGATGCTGTATTTTTCACCATCTACAGCTTCCATATCTTCTTCAAGGGCAACCATATGTAAAGCAAATCACAGTGGTCTAGTCGGTAGGTTTGTAGTGCATGAACCAATGTGGCTAGGTTATTCCTGTCCAGGAAGATTGTAGCTGGTGCAACAGCCTCTAGTGACAGTGATGAATCTAGGATTGCTCCTCAGCTGCGTACTTGCTTCTTCAAAGTAAGTGCAAGCCCATCCAGAACAGACTGTTTACCCAGTTTTGGTTTCACCTAGTTATTGCAGTCAAATACACAGTGCAGATGATAATGGGACCCTTTTCCATCTGTGTTGTGAGGAGCTCAAGCACTTGCAACTGTTAATCTGGTTGAGTGCTTGATAATCAAAGGTAGAATATATTCTGTATGAAATAGAAATCACATGAAAAATGTACTTATTTTCAAGCCATGGAAACCAGTCTTAAGATATCTTCCTATAGCATTTTATTTCCTTCATTTACAATTGGAAGAGCACAAGTCCCCAAACACCATTAAGTCAATTCTAGAGATATGCTGATATGGGAGCTTCCAAGATATATTTTGTGATGCAGAGCAAACCCTGTAGCCATGAGTCAAGATAGAGATGGAAAGATAGGCATGAGTGTGCATTTGCTGTAGGAACTGCAGTGTTGGCATTAATATTTAGCAGCCAAAATGACTGGCAATGTGCCTTTGTTTTTTATGCATATTAAAATATTCTGTGAGTCCAAATATTAGGGCTCTAACCACGATACAGCTGAAGGATTCCTGTGTGGATAAACGAGTTCATATTTTATTGAGCCAACATGGTGTAATATGTGGTGGACTTGGCCCTTGAGACACTAGAGCCTGAATCCCAGATCACCAATGGAAACCTGTTGAAAAATGTTTCTGAATAAATCTTGACAAACAACCCTACAGAAAGGTAATTAATAGCTACAGTTAACTTGAAAGCACCTAACAGCAATACAGTTTTACCAAGCTTCTGTAGTAAGTCCAATTAGGGCAATGTTTACCATGATTCAAATGCCAGTGCAATGAAGCTGACGAAGATATGTATACAGGACTGATTACTCCATAATACCATAGCTTCCTTTGACTCTGTAACTTTGCTTTCCATTTGTACATACCAGGTACAGAAAGGCTGTTTTGCTACAAGTTGTTTGCATTTTACTTGGGCTAATAAAAACTAGTACTGATCACTTCCTACCACCTGATTACACTGGTTTTGTTTTTTGTTTTTGTTTTTGTTTTGTTTTGGCCCCTGGCTCCTGTTTGGGGACGGGACCTGCTGAGCACCATCAGATGATGCTGGTTTGGCCCTGCTCCCATTCATCCAAAAGTGGCAAGGAAGCATCATAAGATACTTCCTTGCCCGTGACTGAGAGCTAAGTGGGTTTTTTGGTACCTTTTCTCATCTGATGGGGGAAAGGCCAACATGGTAACATGTGTTGCCACCATTTCCCCCATCTGATGTGGGAAGGAGGAAGAGCGAGCAGGGTTCCACGAGGCACCCTGTGCATCTGGCGTTTAGCCTGCTATTGCTAGCAAAATGGAATAAAATGGAGCGGGGGGTAGTGTGAAAAGGTCCTACAGCTGGTTTTACATGTTTAATTTTATGGTGAAATTCTTTTTAGGCTACAACTCCCGGAATCCTTCAGCCAGCATAGCTGTTAGCAGTGGGCGCTTCCACACTAAACTCAAGCAGCACAGGTTTAAGTATTGGGAGGAGGTGTCTACATGCCATCCCAGTAGCTACCAGGATGGCATGCAGGCACCCCAAAGCCCCCCCCCCTCAATAACCCTCCAAAAGTGTAAAAAAACTTGTCCGGCTGCCATTATCTTTTTTCTGCCGCTCTCCTGGCATGAGGAAATGACACACCAGGAGACTTGGAGAGGGGATTTTCCTTCCCCCCCCCCCCTCCGGGTCTCCTGGCACATCATTTCCTCATACCAGGAGCGGACCATAATGGCAGCTGGGTACATTTTTCTTTCTTTTAAAGGCTTGTTTTGTGTGAGGGGTAGGTGCCTGTTGGTTTTTTGGGCCTAAAAATCCGAGATGGCTGTGTGGATTGGGCTATGCCTGGTAAAACCCAGATCTTACCTCAGATTAGAGTCTTATCAGTTGTATAATTAATTCATATTTACTGGAAGCATCATTTGGACACCTTCGGTAAAACCGAGATAGGTCTTGGTTTAAAGACCTGTCTGGATGGGTCTATGCTGGCTAAAGTGTTCTGAGATGTATGGCCAAAAACATAAAATCACCTTTTCTAAGCTCTGTATATATCTAACATTTAACATTACTATAAGATTAAAAAGAGCCCTTCTAGATCAGACCAGAAGTCTGTTTACCCCAGTGTACTGTTTGCAATAGTGGCTAAGCCTGTGAGGTGCATGAGCAGGACGTAATGGATAGCAACCCTGCCCTGTACTTTGCCCTGGCATCCGGTATGAACAGAAATACAAGTGTAATGCTTGTTTATTACGTGGCACTATGCGTTGCTTTGGTATGTCTCATTTCCATCCAAGTCCAGTGTAATTTACTAATTAGGTGCTGGAGGGGAAAAAAGTATTTCTTCCTCCCCACATACTTTTACTAATACTCCTAAACCCACAAAAGCATGTGATTGTTCCTTCTCTGATTCACCTTTTGGAAAGCTGCCCACACTATGGAGCTGTTTACTATTGACTTTGTAATCCTGTGCTTGGTATTCTAACTATTTTTCTTTTCTTACACCGAGCCTTTGTTTGTGTCTTGCACTTTTTATAACTTTCTTTCCAATGACTGTTGTCCCTTTAAATTACTGAGCATTCACTCATGTAGGTCAGACAAATGTGCAGAAAAGCAAAATAAAAGATAACATTCAGCCAAGATATTTAGCATGGGGGACAAAAAGAATGATTCAGGAGAAGAGAATGTCTGTTCCATTAGATGCAACTTCTGAAGCTGAGATAACTTTCCAGAGGTTTGTTTTCCCTTCCTGTGGTGTAACGTAGTCAGCCGCTAATCATGAAAGAGCTGACTAATGTTAGAATTACTTATGACTATGTCGCTCTCAATGCAGTGTCCTGAAATGCTTTGCTGTTAGTGCTGCTTATTGGAAGGAAGCTAAAGGTCTGTCATTAGTGCACAAGCTTCTATATTGCTCAGTACGTCCACACTTTATCCCTGTGAACAAACACTGAGGATTTTGGTTTCCCAGGTTCGAGAGAGAGAGAGAGAAGTTGTTTGATGTAATTCCTGAGACTACAGTCTGCTGTATCATTTCGTGGTAGAGCTGGTATGAGACGTTTATGCTTGGTTCTACAATGAGTATGCCACGACTGCCAAACAAGATGCCCCCGGAGTTTAGGAATATGTGTGTGCTGCTGCCAAACCGAGACCAACTCAGCGTGACCGTCGGGGTAAGTAAGTTTAAGCTTCCATCTGAGATCACAGCATGAATGACAGAGATCGCTGCCTATTGTGTTCAAAATAGCCAGTGTAAACAAGGTTTCTGAAGGCTTGACTGTTGAGAAAAGAAATTTGCCAGCCAACCCCCCTATAATTATCCAAAAAGTTACACTTGCCTCTCAGTTGATTCTTTAGCTAAACAAACCAGATGGTAAATTTGGTTTTTTTTAGTTCCCCCTAATAATTAAACAGCATTTGAAAGTAAACATTTGTTTACATAAGAATAAATGCAAGTCACACCTCATTCTTCGGACCTTACCAAGTAGCTTTTACTTCACATCATCTGGTTCATAGTTTTAATTGTGTTTTCCAACACAGAAGACGTTTTTAAATAGGGGAGATCAAATTTTACATAGTCATCTTTTTTTGTAGCAGCTTGGTACAAAATGAATGGTACGATACCTTGCCCCTTTGGGATGATGAAATGTCGGCTGAAAATTAAGGGAGGGAGTGGTAGAAGGTATTGTCTGTGCTGGATCTTTTGCATTAAAAATATACAAAGGAATTGGTTCCTGTGCTCTGTTATTAATTTTAAAAAATTTAGATTTCTGTACATTTCAAATCAACATATTAAGGAAGGGAAAAATATCTTGTTACTGGTAGCAGATTCTGCAAAGATCTGGACTTTTAAAAAAATGCAATGTGCACCTGCTTGGAGGGTGTCTCTTGCCAAAATGCACATTTTGGGGCAGCCAGCATTTTATTTCCATGCACAGACCTGCCTGTTTTCCTTTTCATCTGTTCTGCCAATAAAACATTGCAAAAGAAGAAAGGGAAGAGAAGGAGAAGCTGATTAAAAGATCTGTTGCTGTTGACAGATATAAAGGCACAGAGTGCTTTAAAGGCATCTCTGAAGAGAAATGCATAGATCTGTACATGTTCAAAGTAAGCTATCAAAGGGGTTTTGCTATATTCTCCCACCCAATGATTCACTAACATGGCCCTTCAAAGAGGCATATGAAAAAGGCAGCATAAATAGCCAAAGGGATATTAGGATGTGATTATGTTCCATCATGCCCTTTACAGCTGAAGAGTTAAGGGAGGATTCTTACAACTCTAGCTGTTTAGATTTAATTTTACTATGTTTTCTTGGCAAGATATTCAGTGGGAGTTTTTCTCCCTCCCTTTCTTTTCTGATAATCTACAGGTTAAAAGTTGCTTTGCTTCTTTGAGAACTTAATATGCATTATATATAAATTTGTTGGCACACAGTTACCATGGTTGGAATATGAAAAGTACATATTCTGATTATAGTAACAAACAGAACATTTTAAAAATGAAATAAATATTGTGGTACAAATTGAGGTACAAGGCAACTCCTGAATATATTTTTCCTGCTTCTTCTATTAGTCTGTCCAGGTTACATCGACCCTTCATTGGTCCCACTTTTCCCTACAGTCTGAACTATATCTTGAAGTCCCTATTCCCTTGAATTTTTCATCATTTTTCTCCCTCCTCTTTTTCTTTCCTTCTGGGCTCTCATCTTTTGCATAAAAACATGCTATAGACCACAAGTTGCCCTACTCCTGCACTAAAGAGAAAACCCCAAAGTCCAGTATGTGTAAATTTTTGCTCATGGAGTCCCTAGGCCTGAGGTCTTTTTGTGGATTTTCCTCTACTCCAGTGACCATTGGACATGGCTTGTCTCTCACCATGCATTTCAGAGTTCCTCTATGGGTTCCTGCATGGGTTCCCCTAGAATCCATTTGAATTTCCCACAACATTTATGAGGAACAGTGAAGTATCCTTGGGTGGCAGAGTTTTTTAATCCACATAATCATATATTAGAGGTTATTGATGATAACTTGAGAGTATCTCCCTCTACGAGCCTACAAAAGCTTTAAGATCGGCTGGGGAGTCTTGCTTTTTGCCCCAGTTTCTTTGCAAGCTCTATTGGTTGGGATGAGAGACAGGGCCTTCTCAGTGGTGGTCCCTCAACTGTGGAACCCCCTCCCCAGTGGCATCAGGCAGGTCGTCAGTAATCCTTGAAGCATGAGAGATGCTTCAAGAAGCTGAAAGATAGATCTTTCTTTCGATAATCAAGGGATTTGTTCAGGATGTTCCCATTCTCTTACCTAACATTCCAGAGAACCTACATGAATATATTCCTCTGTGTTGAAATGTTTCCCTTTGTTTTTAGACAGACCTTGGTATAGATTTGCATCTCTTCATATTTTTCAAACTTAGCTCTTCCCTTTTTTTCCTTTTTGCAGTAGTATCTGATAGCTTTTAAAATTCTTTCAATGCTTGCTTGAAGTTCTTCTTTGTCTTGTCCACAGTATCAAATATTTATTTCATGTTGTTTTTGAAAGGTTTTCCACACTGCCTTGATTCTACAAAAAGGTAGTTTTCAGGCAAAACAATATTTCTGAAAAATGTAGTCAACTCGTATCAAAGAAACTGGAGGCATAGTTTCCTTGACAGAGAGGCGTGTTAACAGGCATGGATAGACTTTGAAGAGATTAGCAACTAAAACTGCTTATGCTCTGAAGTGCTTATACAACCATGTGAATATGTGCCATTTCCTTGTGACTTCCAAAATGTATCAGTTATTCTTAAATTTATGTAACCTTCCTTATTCATACTGGTGCCTTCCAGAAATTTCAGGCTACAGTGACAGTTGACCATGCTGGTTAGGGCTGATGAAAGTTGAAATTGTGAATAGCTGGAGAGCACCACACAACATGACATGCATACCTGATCATAGTTCTCTTGGACCAGCACTTTGAAATACACAGAAGCAACTTGTGCTGACAATAGTTAAGAGATCTAATCATGGTTTGCATATCTAGATATAAAACAAATAAACCATGGTTTGCAGGTGCTTGTCTATAGGTGCTTACTCTCCATCTGCTCAGGATACATTGTATTATGATTCCACTGGAGAAATAATGGTTCCTATTATGCCTGAACTTAATGTATAGCTTGCCCAGAAATGCAAAGTGGACCCAATATGAAGACTCATTACACTGTTTCCTCCTATTCTGTTCACCATAAGAAATTATACAAAATTATAGTGTTCTTTACACTACTAATCATCAAAATATTGGCCAGCATAGCTAATAGTGAGCAATGCTGGGAGTTTCAGTCCACTATCAATACACAGTGGGACAGTGTGTACAGTTCATGCTACCTCATGTCATAATGCAGTGACTCAGATTCCCCACTGGAAAAGTTTGCACAGACTTGGGACTTTGCTCCTTCAGTTTTTCAGCATCCATATGCCTCAGATTCTCCCATGGTGTTCAGTGTTAGGTTGATTACATATTTCACTTTCTTTTCCTTTTTTGCTTGTAGGCAAAAGCAACTGGACAAGAACTTTTTGACAAAGTTTGTGACATTCTGAAAATTAAGGACCCCCACTTCTTTGGCATCAGTGTTGTAAAAAGTAAGCATGGAGGGTAACTATTTGGCATTTGATCTGTGCCAGTGAGCAAAAGAGCACTGCAGTATCACCCAGTTACTCACCATGGGCATCATGAAAAACATGTCAGAATCCTATGGTCTATTGGAAGAAGGAGGGGAGTGCTTTTTCATTGCTCATTTCCCCCTTTAGTTGTTAAATCTGTCATTTTTTTTCTTTTCGTCACTATTAACCAAAATATTCTGGGGTTGGATATATTGGATTTTTTTCCAAGATATAATTTGTAAAGTTGTTTTCCTGAAATTTAGCAGAATTTCAACTTAAATTATGCTATAGAGAAAGCTTACAAATAATACCCCCAGATTTGTTAATGCATTTTACTTCAGCCTGTTTGTTTTATCTGTCTGTCTATCCAAACATCCCCTGAAATCCATGACAGCTGAGATCTGGACATCTTTGAGCTGTTTTGATGTAAACAAAAGCCCCTGTCAGTGCCTAGTGTTTCTGCATCACTACTAAAGGCAATGATCTCCGGACCCTTCCACATCCTTATATTCCAAAATATCAGGGCAGAAAATCCCACCTTATCTGAGTGTGGACTCAGATAACTCAGTTCAAAGCAGATATTGTGGGATTTTCTGCCTTCATATTCTGGGATATAGGGCTGAATCCAGAAAAGACTAGCTGGTTTGCTAGACTTTGGGGATAGAAGAGTTCTCTCCCCTTTCTAGTGGTTTCTCCATGGACAGAAATCAGCTTGCCTGAATAGAGCTATTATTGAGTGCGGGTGTTCTGGATATGAACCCTGCTACTGTTTGAGTCTATGTGTCCCAGAAAAGCCAAGCAATGCTTTTCTTGCTTCTCTGATCAGAATATTTTGGAAATGATCCTTAAATATGCAAGCTTGCGTGCACATCCAAATCTTTCCTTTTTATCCTCACCACTTTTGCTTTAATCGGATTGATTTGTGCTCGCTTTTCATTTAATCAAAGGAACACATCAAAAAAGAGGCAACTTAAGCACATGACAAGGATCTGTAAATTCACCTTTAATCCGTTGTTCTTTTTCTTCACCCCCCCCCCCCTTCTGTTTTTCTGGGAGAGAATGTTGGAGTGGGGTGGAGGGAGAGGGCCTTCGGATTCTGTAAGTGAAGGATTACACTGCAGGTTGGCATTTTGACAATATTAACCTCATTAGAGTTGGAATGTACTGCTGCTGCATTCCTGCACCAAAGGGTGGATGATGGTAGAATAAAGCAGGCTGAGTCTGAGAAGCAGAGAATGGGAGTGGGGGAAAAAGGAGGGCTCTTGGCAGAGAAAGGCAGGGAGATCGCTCACTTTTTATGAAATTCTAAAGTGGCTTAATAAGTCTTGTAGGTTGCCTCCCCTCCCTCCCTCCCTCTTCCACGCACAAATAACACACAGTTTCTGTGTTTAGTCATCTGCTTCCCAGAAACGAACCTGAACAGTCATGCAGCTTGTATTCTGTTCAAGATACAAATACTGTGAAATGTACTCCCAGCTTATATGCAAAGGTTTAATGCACCTGCTAATTCTAGGAGACAACCATGGTATTTTTAGGAATTTGGGAGCAGGCAAGTGTCTTCGTCGTCCTCTGTTTAGGTCCACTTGAGAGTAGGCTTTTCTCTATTTCTTTGCAATGAGAAAGAAGTAAGCACTCACCTATAGAGCTAAACTGGATGTAGAATCAGAGTTGGAAGAGACCACAAGGACCACCCTTTCCAACCCCCTGCCATGTCCGAATGCATCTCCCTTTATGAACCACTGCGGAAACTAAGATCTTCTGGGGAGGCCCTGCTCTCAGTCCCTCCACTGTCAAAGGCACATTTGGCAGGGACGAGAGACAGGGCCTTCTCAGTGATTGCCTCCCGGTTATGAAACTCCCTTTCTGGCAATATTCCATCAGCCCCCTCCCTCCTGTCGTTCAGAAGGATGGTGAAGGCCTGGCTGTGGGACCAAGCCTTTGGGGCAGTACAGTGAGGCAAAATGGTGTCCTGAGATGGTTTTTGAGCAACTGATTTTAATGTGAATAAGTGATTTTAATGTTTGTGTATATTTATGGTTTTATGTCCCGGCATTGAATGTTTGCCGTATATATGTTGTGCTCCACCCTGAATCCCCTGCAGGGTGAGAAGGGCAGAATATAAATATTTTAAATATAGAAATAAATAATGTAGGCACACACAATAGAAGCACTCCCAACTGATAGCCATCCAGCCTCAGCTTAAATAAAGAGCCTCCCAGTACTCCAAGGCAGGATGTTCCACTATTGAATAGCTTTCACTGTTAAGAAATTCTTCCTAATATTTAGGCGAACTCTCTTCTTTCAGTTTGAACCCATTCCTCTGTGTTCTAGCTTCTGGAGAAGCAGAAAACAAGTTTGCCCCTCCTCCATCTGACATCCTTTCAGATATGTATGGCTATTATGTCTCTTCTCAGTCTTTTTGCCATGCTAAATGTATCCAGTTCCCTAGGCCATTTCTTATAAGGCACAGCTTCCAAACATTTGATTATTTTTGGCACCTTTCTCAGGACACTTTCTAGCTTGTCACTATCCTTCTTCAATTGTGGTGCCCAGAACTGGACACAGGTTATTTCAATGACTAAAGCAGAAAAAGTGGTACTAAGACTTCTCACCATCTTGACATTTCACACCTATTGATGCAGCCTAGAATCACATTGGCTTTTTTAGCTGCCACATCACATTATTAACTCATGTTCAATTTGTGGTCTCCTAAGATTTTTAGATCTCCTTTACATGGAGTGTTGTGAAAGGAAAGTCTCATAGGATTAGTGAAACTTGAGCAGGAAAAAATGTACAACTATAGAAAATCTGCACATGTGTTCTTCTCAAGTCTAGTATCTTACATGTCATAGAATATGATTTTTAATTTAATGATAGGATCCTTGGACAAGCCACACTGTCAATGGACCCTTCAAAAAATGTCAAATCTGCTATCTGTTCTTCTGTTTCCTTTTCAGACAATGAATATGTATTTATTGACCTGGAGCAGAAACTTTGTAAATACTTCCCAAAGGAGTGGAAGAAGGAAACCAGCAAAGTATGTCTTGATAAGACTTGTTTTTGACACCTAATTATTGGCAAGTGTTACATACTGAGATTTCTAGTTAAAATGAAAGCTACCATTCTTTTTTTATGATGTAATTCCAATTTTCTTGCCAAAATATATTTGTCTGCTCTTGTCTTTTGCATTTGTTTAAATGTTGTCCTATTGACATTCATAGAATCATAATTGGAAGAGACCTCATGGGCCACCCAGTCCATCCCCCTGCCAAGAAGCAGGAAAACTGCATTCAAAGCACCCCCGACAGATGGCCATCCAGCCTCTGTTTAAAAGCCTCTAAAGAAGGAACCTCCACCACACTGTTGAACAGCTCTGACAGTCAGGAAGTTCTTCCTAATATTCAGATGGAATCTTCTTTCTTGTAGTTTGAAGCCATTGTTCCATTGCATCCTAGTCTCCAGGGCAGCAGAAAACAAGCTCCCTCCCTCCTCCCTATGACTTCCTCTCACATATTTATACATGGCTATCATGTCTCCTCTCAGGCTTCTCTTCTTCAGTCTAAACATGCCCAGCTCTTTAAGCCACTCCTCATAGGGCTTGTTCTCCAGACCCTTGATCATTTTACTCAGAAGTAAATCTCATGCAAATTCTCAAATATATGTGTATTGTATTACACAAAATTCTGAGGTTTGTAGTTTAGTGAGGCTGTTAAAGGCTCCACCCTAAACTACGAATCCCAGCATTCTGCAGGAGACAGAAACCAGACTTTAAGTGGATTTTTTCTCTAGTGTGATGAGGTTCAAGTTTATTGCATTACTTATGTTTAGGCTTAATTGTTATTAATTAATTAATCAGCCATATAGTTTATAATATGACATTTTTCTCTACTGACATTTTTCTCTAACATTGTCTGCTTCTCAACTGACCTTTAGACTGTGACTTAACTGCGATGTGATCTGCTGCAATTGACATTTGTAGCTTTTCAGAGCTAGTACAGCTCTAGAGACTTCTTGCCAAACTGTCAAATGACATCCATCAGTCAAGAGAGCAGAGATAGAAACATGTGGCAGTTGCAGCAGTCAGTTTTTAGCTTCATGGTTACTTGTTTGGTTATTGGATTTATATCCCACACTTCTCCTGGGATGGGATCAAAAGAAGCTGCACCTTTTTTGTGCACTTTTCCAATAAATGACAACTAGAAGTCTCTTGTGGGTAACTTCTATGTTACTTAGCTGGTTTTCCAGGGAAGGAGAAAGAGTTGAACTGGAAGACATTGATTATTATAGTTTTAATGCTTTTTATATAGATTTTATCATGTTATTTAAATGTTTTTAATTGATGTATGTATGTTGTGGCATCTAATTGTTGCCAATTTGTACGCTGCCCTGAGTTGCCTTTGAGCTGAAAAGAGCGGGATAAAAATGCTGCAAATAATAAATAAATAAATAAATAAAATTAGAATGCATGGGCTACAGCACAGTTTACCTGTAAATAAACATGTATTACAGGATTGGGCAACTTCCTAATAGGTGGGTAGTTGGAGCAATGAAAGCGACCATCACCCCAATTATTGGGGGGTTATACTCCAGCTGTCACAGCCAAAATTTAGCTACTACCATCATTGAGTTCCTGCTGTTGCTGCAGTTGCCATTGTTTCTAGTACAGGGACTTCAGACTACCTGTTCTCTATGGGTCACAGTTTGAGAACTTTAATATTAAGGGACTTGCAGAGCAAGGATACTCCAACTGTTGCTAATGTTTCTGATAATGGAAGGTGATAGGACTGGAAAGATCATTCAAAATGTTGAGTTCTGACATTGGGATATTTATGTTTTGCTATTTTTTTAAAAAGGCAACAGAGAAGTTCAGCCCTCCTTTGGTTACTTTCTTCAGAGTACAGTACTATGTAGAAAATGGACGAGTCATAAGGTATAGTTATTTTGTGTATTTATTCTTTATTTATTTTCTTTCTTTCCATTGTGTTTGCTTCCATTCTGACTCTTGTACAAACCCCCCCCCCCATTATCATGCCCTCTAGATAAAACCTGGAATTAACATGTTGATTAAATTGTTGAGTTATTAATTTGATAGCGATTTCTACGATGCCATCTAATTTTCTAAATTCTCCAATTAACAATGACATTTATAATAAAGCTATGGTGAATTAAGTCATTATAGTTCATTAGGCTGGGCGTCTTTCCCTCTGGCACATTTAGCAAGACACGAAAGTCTGGCGTTCCAGAAAAGAAATATCGGAACTTGAAGAAATGTATTACATGGCTCAGTTGTTAGGTTGGCTAATCTGTGTGATTTCTTTGGGAACAAAGCTTGGAAAGAAGGGAGTCAAAGAGAATTTTCAGAAGCAAAAGAGCTTCTTCTGGTAAAGCAGTGGTTCTCAACTTGTGGGTCTCCAGGTGTTTTGGCCTACAGCTCCCAGAAATCCCAGCCAGTTTACCAGCTGTTTGAGTTTCTGGCAGTTGAAGGCCAAAACATCTGGGGATCCACAGGTTGAGAGCCACTGTGGTAAAGGATGGAAAGAAAAATGGAGGAGAAGAACAAAAGTGAGTCTTGGAATAGAATCGGGTTAGGGTGGATGGGTGAGATGTTTCCTTAGCAGGAGACCAGGGCTCTCAAGCTGTAAATGACATTCCAAAAGAATGATGCCATTCTCCACAAAGGCTTGTGTGAAAGCAAAATGTTTGGATTCTTGCCAGTGGGTGGGGATGCATTGTAACTCTCTTCAATAAATTCTTTTCTATTGATTATATTGTGGGCTAGTTTCTACACTATATTCTTATTTCTCCAACCCCCCCCCCCCCAACTTGGGTATTAATGGCAGCTGCATTCCATCATGTGTATGCTGCACTTGGTTTCCTTAGATAGCGCTTCACGCTTTTCCTATTTTTTTACTGGAGCATAGCTTTTTCCAGGGTCTTTCTCAGGAGTGTGTTGACATTTCCAAGTGCCTTCATTGTGGCTGCAGTGCACAATACAATGCAAAGGCAATTATGAGTAGCAACATGATTGCCTTTTTGTTTGCATCTGTGTCAAGAACCGTATCCTTATTTTTTCTCAAGTTTTTTTAATACTGGAGAAAAGAAATATTAAAGGGTAAAGTAGAGGAGAGAGACATCTGCATTTGAATGAGATTCATACACATGGAATATAGGATAAATACAGGCAGTCCCCAAGTTACAAACAAGATAGATTCTGTAGGTTTGTTCTTAAGTTAAATTTGTTTGTAAGTTGGAACGAGTACGTTTTTAAGAATAACTCAAGTCAAACATATTTTTTTAGCTTTGGATAGCATAGAGAGAGGCTAACTCCTCTGTGGTGTTTGTTTTGCTGTCTGTGCCCCTTTTCAGAAGATTTCACTGCACTTTCTGTCCCTGGGATTATTGGATTTTGAAAAAAAATTACTTGTTCTGGAAACAAGGATCAATTATAAAGCTTCAGTTTACACACCTTTTCCCCATGATAACTCTTTCAGGAGTGAATGTCACTTCCTAGGGATAGATTTTTCTCGCTTCCTGTTGTCTCACCCTGTTCTTATAAGTCAGATGTTTGTAACTGGGGAATGCTTGTACAATCAAAATCTGATGCAGTTCACAAAAGTTTATGGGCCCTTCCATGCTGCCCTATATCCCAGTATCTGATCCCAGATTATCTGCTAAACTGGAATATATGAGCCTCCATTGCCAGTTATTCTGGGATAACTGGATAATCTGGGATATTGGGACAGTGTGGAAGGGCTCTATGTTGAAATATATATCTGTTTATCTCAGAGATGCTGTGAGATTCCTACCCCTGCCTATCACTATCTCTTTTCTTTTTATACAATACAAAATCATTGTGTCCTTGGGAGCAAAGCTGGTTCAATCAAATTGGGCAACTGACAGAGTAAATATTTTGCATTATAGCTTCAGACTGTTGTTTGAAGCCAAGATCATGAAGATTTCAGGGCAATTAAAATTAAACATAGCTTTTTATATTGGATGAACATTTTGTTTTTATATCTGAGCAAGGCAGTTGTTGGGTTGTTGTAGGTTTTTCCGGGTTATTGTTCTTTTTGTTCTTAAGGCAGTTGTTCTTTTACTTCTAGGATAATCCTGAGTTCTGTTATCCTTTCTCTTTATTTCTTCCTTCTTCCTTCTACTGTTTTCATAAGCTTCTTAAAAGGAAAAGGCCATTAATTATAAGGCCTCCATAGAACATATACATCTCCCTAGTCACAAACTTAGAGTTTTGTTTTGAGACAGTCTCTTTGTCCTTTTCATAATACATCTGTCAACATCTCCTTCAGACATTACTTGGCGCACTGTGGATAGCCCTGTTTTCCTACATTACAAATGTCTCAATTTGGGGCTCTGGAGGAAGGCAGAAAAACTCATTTTTCACCGAAAACATTTAGATATCATGTGAGGGCCCTTCTACACAGGCCCTAAAATCAGAGAAACTGGGATAAAAGAGAGTTGGGATGGCTAGATGACACTTGCTGAAAATGTGTGCTGAGTCACATCATTGGCTGAAAAACATGAGTTAAAAAGATGTGCTTAAAATATGAGATCAGTTGAAAAATGCACATATTCACATCACTATATCCCTGCACTCCTGAAAAATACTTCATGGTATGGATTGCTCCAGCACTTGTGCATGTTTTAAAATCCCAAAATAGCTGATGAGGACTGTAAACACATGGAGCCATGGACACACAGGTGGCTAAATGGAAGCACAGTTGGAAAGCAATTCCCATGATAACTCTTTGCAACCATTCCTTTGTTTTCATATTAATGAAATTAAACAGAGCTTGTGGGCACCAGCATGGCAGGCAAGTGATCGCAAAGGGAAGCAGGGTTTAAGAGGGCAAACGTAAAGGCAGCAGGAGGGCGAGGAGAGTATATGACAAGAAATCAGCTTGTGTGCACATTCGTTTATCTGTATTAGCACTTAAGAAGTCCTGAGCATCTTGGAGTGTCAATTAAAAAAAATAAAGCTTTTGGTGGATGTTCTGTGTCCATTTTGCGGATTTCTAAAATCCAATACAAACTAGCTTTTCAAATCACCAGGGGACTGTTTGCCAGGACTGACAGCTCTGTGTTTGGACTTGCTTTCAGCTCCCACAACTTTTTGCCCTGCTTCTTTGTCTGGATTATAAGGCTGTCTAGAAGGGCCCTGAGAAGTCTAACTTTGTCCAGTCATTTTCACACTATTGACAATTACATGAGAGTGAAGGCAAACCCTCCTTCCCTTCTCATAAAGTGCCATGCTCCCTTCCTTTTCATTGTGAGTATCTGAAGAGAACCTGACTGCCAAATTCATAGATGTACTGCATGAACAGGGTTACAAATCAAAAAGAGGGTAGGCTTTCCCTAAATAGATGTGCCCCATATTTAGATAGAAGGTCAGATAGGCATCATCCAATTTTCTACTTTCCTGATTATCAGTAGGACGCTTATGCTTTTTCTGAAATAAGGAAGTGTTGTCAACAGTAACCTAGAATCTTTAGTGGAAATGCTATACAAAGATACATGCAAAACGTTTGCCAGAATCAGTTGTTTTATTTGAAAGCATTATAACATTAGAATCTATCAGGCGCTTAAGTAGGGCTCCCTAAGTTCCAGATTCAGCATCTGGTTCCTGACATATACAAATGTAAGTCTAAGGTAGCTCTGGGTATGCCTTTCTCTCTTTCTGTGTGTGTGTGTGTGTTTGTTTTTTGCTTCTACCCGATGTTGATCTTTTCTTCCTTCCTCCCCAATAAAATTAACCTCTCCTCCAAGAATTCAGGTTTTGCTGCAGCAGCCCTCCTGTACAGCAGGGGAGGATGAGAGAAACATCTAGTTACATACTGACAGCCAGGTGCAGAATGATTGTATCATCTACGTAAACCTCTGGATGATGTCATTGTTAAGAAAATTTTATGATAGGTTTGCCATAAGCTGGAGTCCATTTGAAGACACCTAGCAACTAGAAAGAATAATTATCCCTGTTGACCTGGTCTGGAAGAGTTTTCCAGGATAGCCTATAAATAATGATCAATGTTGATAAAATAAGCTCCACCTAATAGTTTTTCCTCATACTCGTAGTTTCTATTTATATGGCTCCCCATTCATCTTTATTCATGTTCTTAAGACATGCTTTTCAATGTTTTGTAGTGACAAGGTAGCCCGGCACTATTACTACTGTCACCTCAGGGAGCAAGTCCTGAGATCTCGGTGTACAGACAAAGAAGAAATCTACTTTCTGTTGGCTGCCTATGGTCTGCAAGTAGATGTGGGTGACTACCAGGAAGATTTTCATAGAGAAAACTATTTTGAACCCCAGACTTATTTTCCACAATGGGTAAGTCTCACATTCTGAAAGTGAAACAATATCATTAAGGTGTGAGGCTCAGCAGGTGGAATAAAGTGTAAGAAGGCTTTCTTTTCCAAGCCTTCTCCACACTCCTCATGTCTTCTCTTTCCTAAAATTCTTATCAAGTCCTCTGAGTTTACATGAGTGAATAGGTTGTCTGAATTCACCTTCTGGGACAAAATGTTTTCCTCCACTTCATCCCTTAAAGCCTTGGGCACACCCCCCAAAACTGTTCCAAAGGAAATTACCCCCTGCCATTTCTTTATTAATTTATTTAGAGTATTTATACCTTACTCTTAAAACACAAAGCTTCCCAGGCTCCCAGAGCAGTTTGTAATTAATAGGTTTGGCAGTTCTCTCCCTAAAGGCCTAGATATATATATGAACCTTTAGTTCACCTACGAATTTACACTGACTTTCCATAGAGTTTTTAAAGAAAAGGAATGGTCCAAGGTGGTTTGCCATTGCCTTCCACTCAAATATAATGTCGATCACAAGGAAAGGAAAATAATTAGATGGGAATTAAATTAAACAGTTGCTGACATTCTCCTTCTCCCTCAGCCACAGCAAGAAGAGGTGAGATAGGAAGATTTGGGACAGTCATATGTGTTGCTGCATCTCATTTGTTTCTAATATATTGTGAATGCAGGGATGCGTGCCCTCACTTAGACCTTCCTTAGAACATCTCTCTGGAGGGTCAAGAGGATAGTGGGAAAGACCTTTGATATAACCCAGGCCTGCAGAACCTGTGGCCCTCCAGCTGTTTTGGCCTCGACAACTCCCAGAAGCCCCAGCTAGCTTGTCTAATGACCAGACATTCTGGGAGTGAGAGGCCAAAACAGCTGGAGGGCTGCAGGTTGTATGAGCCTAATATAAAGTCATTCAACATGAGATTTAAAGGATTCAAGAAGATTTCTCCATTCCGTGGAAGCATTCCCATCCCATGTCTTTTCAGAAAGACCCTCAACCATCAAAAGAGGGTTTGTAGCCGGGGTTGCTACAGTGGACTGGAGGAAACAGGGAATATCTTGGGCACAAGCTTGACATGGGATGCCACCCATTATCATGAACACTAGGAAATAATCTCTGAGGAAACAAGGCAAGTCAAAATACTTGCCACTCACAAATTCATTTTTCCCGCACAGTTTCTGAGCCTCAGTCCTTGGTTGCCTCACTCTTAAAATTCTTTGTGCAGGAGTTGGCAGAAGATATGAATTGTTTTTATTAATCACTGCAATCTGTAAAGTCATAAACATAGCAAAGTTCAACCATGATTTAAACGGTATTGTTCCTTATCTGTGAATTAACAGCCAACTTTTACCACCTGTGTTGGCACCCAATATCCCACAAGATGCTTCTCTCCCTTCCCCTAGGCCACTGGAGGGTGATGATGCATGAGTAGACTTCTCATTGAGTTCCTTGGCTCAGGACTGCTGCTCTGTGTGGGTGACTGTGAGGAACAGCGGGAAGCAGAAAGTGGGCAGTCTAGGTTCCTAGACTCATGGCGCTCAGCTGAGGAGTTAAGAAACATCAGGCCCTGTGGCAGCAAAATAATTGAAACTGTGTGGAGTCTGTGAAAGACACAATGGGAGGCACAGTGCAGCTACCAGGCAGAGTCTCTCTAATTAATGGGAATCAAAAACATTCAGGCAAAAGCACTCTTTCTCAAGAGTTTCCTATGCTATTACAAAAAAACGTTTTCAGTGTTGAGCAGTAGCAAGGGAAAGAAAAACTAGAATCTGCAATGTTAACCAAGGAAAGCTTCTACTACATATGGGTTGAGCATGCCTTTTCCTAAATAATTAGGATCACAAGTGTTTTGAAAATAGGATTCTGGAATGCCTGTATTTGCATATATCTCCATCATGAGATATCTTGGAGATAAGACCCAAGTCACATTCATTTATGTTTCTTATATACTTTATACAAATATATGTTGGAAACCACTTTTAAATCAAAGCTGATTGTCACAGCTTATTTTCCTAGGAAGTTATAGATGTCTTCCTAATAATAATAATAATAATAATAATAATAATAATAA